CCCACTCACTCAGCCACTCACTCATTCTCTCACCCACTCACTCAGCCACCCATTCACTCACTCATCAACTCACTCACTCACTCACCCACTCACTCACCCATTCACTAACCCACTCACTCATCCACTCACTCACCCACTCACTCAGCCACCCACTCATTTACCAGCTCACTCATTGATCCAATGATTCACTCACCAGCCCACTCATTCACCCACTCACTCACCCACTCACTCACCCATTCACTCACCCACTCACTCAGCCACTCACTCATTCTCTCACCCACTCACTCAGCCACCCATTCACTCACTCATCAACTCACTCACTCACCCTCTCCTCACCCCCCACTCATCCACTGATTCACTCACCCACTCACTGACCCACTCACTCACCCATTCACTCACCCACTCACTCATCCACTCACTCACCCACTCACTCAGCCACCCACTCATTTACCAGCTCACTCATTGATACAATCATTCACTCACCAGCCCACTCATTCACCCACTCACTCACCCACTCACTCATTCTCTCACCCACTCACTCAGCCACTCATTCACTCACTCATTAACTCACTCACTCACTCACCCTCTCCTCACCCCCCACTCATCCACTGATTCACTCACCCACTCACTCAGCCACTCACTCACCCATTAACTCATTCACTCACTCACCAGCTCACTCATTCGCCCACTCACTCATTCACTCACTCACCAGCTCACTCATTCACCCACTCATTCACTCACCCACTCACTCAGCGACCCATTCAATCACCCACTCACTAAAGCCACCCACTCATCCACCACTCACTCAGTAACCCAGTCACCCATTCACTCACTCATCATCTCACTCATTTACCCACTCACTCATTCACTCAGCCACCCATTCACTCACTCATCAACTCACTCATTCACCCACCCACTCATTCACTCACTCACCCACTCACCCCCCACTCATCCACTCATTCACTCACCCACTCACTCAGCCACCCATTAAGTCATTCACTCACTCACCAGCTCACTCATTCACCCACTCATTCACTCACCAGCTCATTCATTCACCCACTCACTCAGTCACTCACCCATCCACTCACTCATCCACTCACTCCTCACCCCCACTCATCCACTCATTCACTCACTCACCCACTCAGTCAGCGACCCACTTACCCATTCACTCAGTTACCCACTCACTCATTCACTCAACCACTCACTCACCCACCCACTCAGTCACTCACTCACCCACTCACCCACCCACCCACTCAGTCACTCACGCACCCACTCACTCACTCACGCACCCACTCACTCACGCACCCACTCACTCACTCATTAACTCACTCAGCTATTCACTCACCAGCTCACTCATTGATGCACTCACCCACTCACTCACCCACTCACCCACTCACTCAGCCACTCACTCACTCACCCACTCACCCACTCACTCACCCACTCACCCACCCACTCACTCACCCACTCACTCACTCACCCCCTCACTCATCGGCTCAATCACCCACTCACTCACCCACCCACTCACTCACCCACCCACTCATCCACTCACTCACCCACTCACTCATCCACTCATTCACTGACAGCAGAGAGCGCAGTCGGGTTATGCGTTTATTTTTTTCTAAATGTACAACAATATCGGATGGCTACAGAGATAGGGCTAATAAACTCAGCATCACAATCATCAGCAGAGCACCTATTGTGATAGAGTGGGTGAGTGAATGAGTGAGTTGGTGAGTTAATGAGTGAATGGGTGAGTGAATGGGCGGCTGAGTGGGTGAATGAGTGCGTTGGTGAGTGAGTGAATGGGTGGCTGAGTGGGTGAATGAGTGAGTGGGTGAGTGAATGAGTGGGTGAATGAGTGAGCTGGTGAGTGTGTGAATGAGTGAGTGGGTGAATGAGTGAGGTAGTGAGTGGGTGAATGAGTGAACTTGTGAGTGAGTGAATGAGTGAATGAGTGAGCTGGTGAGTGGGTAGCTGAGTGATAGGGTAAGTGGGTGGCTGAGTGAGTGGGTGAGTGAGTGAATGAGTGAGTGAGTGGGTGAGGCGCTTGAGTGGGTGAATGAATGAGTGGGTGTGTGGGTGAGCGATTGAATGGGTGGGTGAATGATTGGGTTGGTGAATGAGTGTGTGGGCGAGCGAACGAGTGGGTGAATGCATCTCGATGTGTGTGTGTGTGGGGAGTGGTGGTGCAGTGGTTAGCGCACTGTGTGTGTGGGGAGTGGTGGTGCAGTGGTTAGCGCACTGTGTGTGTGTGTGGGGGGAGTGGTGGTGCAGTGGGTAGCGCACTGTGTGTGTGTGGGGTGAGTGGTGGTGCAGTGGTTAGCGCACTGTGTGTGTGTGGGGGGAGCGGTAGTGCAGTGGTTAGCGCACTGTGTATGTGTGTTTGTGTGGGGAGCGGTGGTGCAGTGGTTAGCGCACTGTGTGTGTGGGGAGTGGTGGTGCAGTGGTTAGCGCACTGTGTATGTGTGTTTGTGTGGGGAGCGGTGGTGCAGTGGTTAGCGCACTGTGTGTGTGTGTGTGGGGAGTGGTGGTGCAGTGGTTAGCGCACTGTGTGTGTGTGTGGGGAGTGGTGGTACAGTGGTTAGCGCACTGTGTGTGGGGGGAGTGGTGGTGCAGTGGGTAGCGCACTGTGTGTGTGTGTGTGGGGGGAGTGGTGGTGCAGTGGGTAGCGCACTGTGTGTGTGTGGGGAGTGGTGGTGCAGTGGTTAGCGCACTGTGTGTGTGTGTGGGGGGAGTGGTGGTGCAGTGGTTAGCGCACTGTGTGTGTGGGGGAGTGGTGGTGCAGTGGTTAGCACACTGTGTGTGTGAGTGTGGGGAGTGGTGGTGCAGTGGTTAGCGCACTGTGTGTGTTTGTGTGGGGAGTGGTAGTGCAGTGGTTAGCGCACTGTGTGTGTGTGTGAGGAGTGGTGGTGCAGTGGTTAGCGCACTGTGTGTGTGGGTGGGGAGTGGTGGTGCAGTGGTTAGCGCACTGTGTGTGTGGGGTGAGTGGTGGTGCAGTGGTTAGCGCACTGTGTGTCTATGTATGGGGAGTGGTGGTGCAGTGGTTAGCGCACTGTGTGTGTCTATGTATGGGGAGTGGTGGTGCAGTGGTTAGCGCACTGTGTGTGTCTATGTATGGGGAGTGGTGGTGGAGTGGTTAGCGCACTGTGTGTGTGTGGGGGGAGCGGTAGTGCAGTGGTTAGCGCACTGTGTGTGTGTGTTTGTGTGGGGAGCGGTGGTGCAGTGGTTAGCGCACTGTGTGTGTGGGGAGTGGTGGTGCAGTGGTTAGCGCACTGTGTATGTGTGTTTGTGTGGGGAGCGGTGGTGCAGTGGTTAGCGCACTGTGTGTGTGTGGGGGGAGTGGTGGTGCAGTGGTTAGCGCACTGTGTGTGTGTGTGGGGAGTGGTGGTACAGTGGTTAGCGCACTGTGTGTGTGGGGGGAGTGGTGGTGCAGTGGGTAGCGCACTGTGTGTGTGTGGGGTGAGTGGTGGTGCAGTGGTTAGCGCACTGTGTGTGTGTGGGGAGTGGTGGTGCAGTGGTTAGCGCACTGTGTGTGTGTGTGGGGGGAGTGGTGGTGCAGTGGTTAGCGCACTGTGTGTGTGGGGGAGTGGTGGTGCAGTGGTTAGCACACTGTGTGTGTGAGTGTGGGGAGTGGTGGTGCAGTGGTTAGCGCACTGTGTGTGTTTGTGTGGGGAGTGGTAGTGCAGTGGTTAGCGCACTGTGTGTGTGTGTGAGGAGTGGTGGTGCAGTGGTTAGCGCACTGTGTGTGTGGGTGGGGAGTGGTGGTGCAGTGGTTAGCGCACTGTGTGTGTGGGGTGAGTGGTGGTGCAGTGGTTAGCGCACTGTGTGTCTATGTATGGGGAGTGGTGGTGCAGTGGTTAGCGCACTGTGTGTGTCTATGTATGGGGAGTGGTGGTGCAGTGGTTAGCGCACTGTGTGTGTCTATGTATGGGGAGTGGTGGTGCAGTGGTTAGCGCACTGTGTGTCTATGTATGGGGAGTGGTGGTGCAGTGGTTAGCGCACTGTTTGTGTCTATGTATGGGGAGTGGTGGTGCAGTGGTTAGCGCTACGCTGCGCTATGAACTCGGCCAGACAGCCAAGTTCGATTCCCGCTCACGGCCACCACCACCACTCAAATCAGTAACCTGGTGTAGCTGTGGTGGTGTAGATGTGGTGGTAGTGTGTGCTAGAGGCTACCTGGGGTAGCTTTGTCTGTGTGTGCATCATAGGTGGTGCTACTCGCTTACTACTGACAGCACTTGCCCATACAGCCCTGCTAGAGGCTACCTGGGGGAGCTTTGTCTGTGTGTGCATCATAGGTGGTGCTACTCGCTACTACTAACAGCACTTGCCCCTACAGCCCTGCTGGAGGCGACCTGGGGGAGCTTTGTCTGTGTGTATCACATCTGCTGCTACTCGCTACTAACAGCACTTGCCCCTACAGCCCTGCTGGAGGCTACCTGGGGGAGCTTTGTCTGTGTGCGTATCATAGGTGTGTCTCTGTGTGTCTCTGTGTCTCTCTGTGTCTCTCTCTGTGTCTCTGTGTGTGTCTCTCTCTGTGCGTGTCTCTCTCTGCGTGTCTCTGTGTGTGTCTCTGTGTGTGTCTCGGTGTGTCTCTGTGTGTAT